GTCTCACTCTCCAGGTACTCTTTAACAATGTTGGCTCTATGGAGACAGGCATTATCATCCATAGAGAGGAAATTAGTAATGCAGTCAGTCTCTTGACAGGATATAGGACTTCATCCTGATACTGCACGTACAACTGAGTGCGATATTCAATTGAAATTCCAGTACACACCATGATACTGCCACATTTGAATGCATGATGTCTGATTTCCTGTGCCTTGTTCTCTCCAGCCCCTTACATGCTTATCATCAGGACAAATCTGAACTTTTCTGTGAAGAGGACATTGTACCAGTTTGAGTAAGATCTGATTTTTAGCTAATCAAATTCAACTAAGCTTTCAAAAGTTGCTAATTTGTATCGCATGCTTAAATTCTGGAAGCAATATTTGTGTAATGTAAAAAAATGTGTAATGATGATATAGTAGTAAAAAAAAAAAAAAAAAAAAAAAAAGGAGGGGGGTTAGAGTTAACTTTAAAGTACCCCTTATATTATTGAGAATTTGTTGTTTCATTTATCGCCAAGTTGTTTTGTTTATCGCCAAGTTGTTGCATCATTTATGGTAACCCGAGTATTTGAATGTTATAGAAACCCTATTATGACGTAATCATTTGCATTACTGTGGAAAATTTTGAATCATGGGATATTTTGCAAGGGCTTTTGTGGTACGTGTTGCTTAGGAAGTACATTGCTTGTTTCATTGTTTAGATGGTACAATGGCTGAATGTAGTAGGATTTATTTGAAGTTTCTGTATGATTTGGAATGAAGGGGAAAAGTGCATTAATTGAGTGAATTAATTGTGTAAATGAATGTTTATTTAGTAGCCATAGTCTGGAACTACGTAGTATATTTTTTACTCTTATTTTTGTGAATTTCTGTCGGGACATCGATATACGGATTGTAGTTCAGATAATTTTAAGAAGTTTTTGTATGCTCTTAAGGAATTTTGTGTGCCATAGACTGAAGACGAATGAATTTTTAAATAAGGTAAGGGGATTTTACCTTTGTGTAGTGCTAAAATACATAACAGCTTTTTCCTTTTTTGTGTTATTTTATTGTTTGGTTTAAAATGTAGTTTATTGAGATTTTGTATTTTTTGTTTGCCTCTACTGTAAAATTGGGTGCTCCTTTGACTTTTCAAGTGAAAATATACTGATGTGTACAAGGACAAACTCAAGGGAGTGTGTAAAGTATAGTTTGTGTAATTCTCTGATGTTTTTTTTAAGTGAAAATAGGTCGATATGTTCATGGATACCAAGTTTGTGCAATTCTTAGACTTGTTGTTTTGGTTTGTGTAGCCAAAATAACAAGTCAAAGAATTGCACACACTCGGTATCCATGTACCACCAAAAAACATAAAGTTTCGTCAAGGGGCACCCTAAAATATACTTTTACCAAAAAATGTAAAATGTAGTATAGTCAAATGCTGAAAATCCGCCAACCTGAAATCCGTGAACTCCTGAAATTTGCATTGCCTCTCAAAATATAAACATTCAGTTTATAGGTTGCAGAAACCGCATTATTGAGTACGAAATATCGAAGAAAAAATAGTTACCGAATAATAATGAGTCATAATGGAAATACCAAATTATTGACATCATGATAAAAGTTTTCCCCTCTAATCTGCATCGAGGTAAGAAAGCAGACAATTCACTCAATTATTTTTTCAAGTTCACGATTCCTATTGTAGTATTTGAGCTTTGTTATTTCACGAGATTATTTAGTGCTGCCTTTTCTTTATCCGGATATTTTGTGGATAAATTAAGAATATTTTACATTTCAGGCCTTTTTAATACAATTACATATAATAAATGCATTCATGATTTGACTGCTTGCAACGCTGAAAAACATAAACACGTTGCATTGACGATAATGCAAAAAGTGCAAATTCTGCAAAAGATGGAGACAGGTGGTACTCCTTGGTTATACTAAGATCGTATGAAATTGCGACACGATTGTGTATGATATACGGAAAAATAAAGAAAAGCTGTCGAAATTTTAGAGCAACAATGATTCTAACTCCGGAAACCTTTGCATGAGGTGAAATCGGCAAACCTCGATGCTGTGTATATATAATACAATAAATAATATAATCAATTTATACACGTAATAATAATTTAATTCATATAATGAGTTATTGCAATAATATATATAATAATTTAATTAAATGTATCTAATACGCCTTATTTATTTTGTACTTTCAGTCTGAATATTATGATTTATCTTTTCTGTCCTTTACCCTCCATCTGTACAAACGACAAACAACACATCTCATCTCTCATCAGCTGGCTTTGGGATTCGGTGACAAGTAAATGGCAGTGTGTGTAAAAATCAGCAAGTTTGGTTAGCGTCAAAAGAAATGGAGAAGGAGGATATTGAGGTTGATCTTTACATTATGGTAACTTGGCGATTTTTTGGCGAAAATTTGGCAACCAACTCTCCTACAGCAACCCTCTATTTTTTTTCCCCGCCGCCATTTTGTCTTCACGAAGTAAAGACATGTTTCTTTTCTTTTTATCTACTGAACACTTCTTCCAACAATCTACTAGCCGAATTAGACTTATGCTAGAAATTTTATCAAACAAAACTGCTTAATCATGACAAATATTCACTGCAAAATTGGGAAAAAGTGCACAATACCATACTCCTTACGTGTTTTTCAAAATAACACATGCACATAAACCATGTACACGCCGACTTATTTTTACTTAAAAAACATCCGAGAATTGCACAAAAATGGCATTGCGCACACTCTTCACTATATCCATGTAAACTGCTTTTTTCTCATAAATTAGAAAAATTTCACGAAAATACATGACAATTTTCTCAATCTTTAAACCCAGTAAAAAGAACATATATGAAATTACCTGATCGCGAAAAAGTATTTACCCTTTACAAATATGAACATTTCCACATATAAAATAAATAAAATATCCAAAAACTTTTACCTCTAAATCATCTATTACATTATACACGTCACCAACGAATTCATACCGCAAGCATTACAAATACTTAGTATCAAATATTTAAATTATTTCCATGCACGTTTATTTCAACTAAAACGTATACCAAATTCCTAACATAAAATTCACAAAATAACTATCATTTCATTAAAATATAATTAAATTCAAAAACACTACTTAAAATATAAATGAGCACATACATTAAATTAATAAAAATTACCTTACAATCCTAATTACTTTAAACTAAATCATTGCTAATAACAATTTTCCCAATAATACCAAATTCCTTTCCACCTTACATTTAGAACAATGCATAAAATTAATATCCTCAAATAATCAAAAATACTAACTTACCTAATCTTCTTCAGAATCTTGATTACGTGGCGGATACACTTTTCTAATTCATTCAATAAAATTATTGAAAGATTTTTTTTTTTCTGCGAATTTTTCCTCCATACTTCCTCCGCTAAATAAAAAGCAAACTTCTCTTTATCACAATGCCTAAATACCCATTTCGAATTCACTTTAGTTAGGGCCATGGGATCCAAAATTAAACAACACTGTTTCACACAACACAGAATAAAGCTAAATACAAACTTTCCACATTTTTTCCCGATTTCCCCCCTTTTCCGATTAAAGAACCGTAATTCGTCCATTAATATCACATGACATATCCCATGATCTCTCATTTCCCTCACGCAAAATAATGCGTAATCGGAACTGAATACTGCCCACATTATTACCAAAGTCTTAGGTAGTAACCTTTATCGCCTCCAAAATGTCGCCAAACTACCAGTTACCATATTGTAAAGATCAACCGATATTGAAACTGAGCCGACACTTAATAAAATGTTTGAGAAAGTTTTCTGTATTAATGGACTGCCCTGCTGAATCATTGGAAGAATTCATTGCAGTAGGTGATGATAATGTGTGTACAGCTCCAATTATGGCAGACAAAGACAGTTTGGAGTTTGTTCAAAGCTAAAAAAAACCATTGATGCAGATTCCGCCGAGTGAGGTAGTGAGTGAAGTGAGGTAGAAGTGACCTCCATTCAAGTTAAAAATATTTTCAGTCTTATGATACAAATAATTGTGGCCTTCATTACACGCACTACTATTTCAGAAAACACCCTCATACTATGGGACTTTTTCAACAAGACCCTATATGCAGGAAATGCTGCAAGAATGAGAACCCTTACCCTCATTTGCTTGACTACTTTAGATATTCTCAATACTAAAGACTTGCACCTGAGCTCTATTAAGGGGCTGTCACACTTTATAAACAAAGTGTGGGACCCAAACAAATGAAGCTAGGAAGCAATGGGTTTGGTGCGTTTGGCACAAAGTGCAGTAAAATCTTAGTATACGCTGCAGCCTTGGCGCAATTTTGAACATTATCACCAACACCAAAATCACCCGTTTAACTACTTATCATAAATTCGTCAAAAGTAACCAAATCCCTTGTGCACCGTATACTAGGATTAAACCCAAAATGCTTTTTATCAGAGGTGCTTATAACCTGACAAACTCAACCTGAAGAAGAAGAAACAAAAATGAAGTAAAAATACAAAAAATGCACATTACTTTCTTTATTCCTAAAAAAGAACAAAAACCAATGAGATGGTTTGTTGATTACAATTTACTAAATATTTTCATAAATTATAAACTAGTTTAGTGCTAACGAATATTACTTTTTCATGAATTAATCACACGTATGAAACCGAAATATATATATATCAATATTTTCCATACACTTCATATTATCAAAAAGAAAAATTAAAGTAACTGTTAAAAATGCTGGAGATGAATAAATATACAGTTGTTTCTCAAGCAAGAGACATGACAATACATTTTGAAACATAAATAATACATTCAAAACATTAATACACGTTTTCTCAATGTACATATATACTAAAGTCGAGAACAGCATGATATCTGGATTCTCCTTCCTGTTAATGTATTCCCAATTATTTTTTAATAAAAATGGAAAAAAAAAAAAAAAAAAAAAGAAAATTGAAATAAACAACTTCAAGAATACTACCTCAATTACAAACGTCCTTTAAAATGTTTTGTATAGTAATCCAACATCTGCCATTATCTCAGACGAAAAAATTACCGAAATTTGATGAAATTAAAGGCCGGAAATTATGCAGTGCACGTTATTTTAGAAATGTATAGGGTCAGCAGAATGATTTGAACTTTAAAAATTTTACTATAAAAAAAGAATTAAAACTACTAGAAAAACTGTTATACTTACATTATTTTTAATTAAACCAAAGTCGTCAAACTTATAATAATACGGACAGTCTTTGTTAACTGTAACTGTATGGTCGAATAGATGTGGCTTGTTTACCGTCTATCATCATCTTGTCATTAGCATGTCAATTGTGGAATCGCGTAGACAAAATTTATTGCCGTAGAACTAATGTTATAAACTTCGAGACATAACCGTCAATGCACTGAAAATAACTTGCATGATAAAAGTATTTTTATACTAACAATATGTGGTCATTTTTTAGTAGGGATGCAGCAAAAGATTTTGGTTACGAATTAGGTACCGAAGTGGATGCAAATAAAGATTATTCAATTTGGAAACTACATCATGGGAAGAAAAAAGTTGGTTTTTTTTTTTTTTTTTTTTTTTTTGTTTCCCCCTTAAAAGCGAATGTTATAAAAGTTTTTTCTGCTTTCTTGCTGATGTAATATAAAATGTTGAAACGTAATTTTAACATCTTGTTACTATGTATATTCTTTTATCTTTCGTGAAGTTATTACGTAATTAGGGTAATAATTTTATGCTTTTATGGCAGTCATTATTAGTTATGTTTCCTTATCTTTTTTAGTCGACTGGGGAATCAGTTAGTATTTTTGTGTTCGAGGTAACAGGTACTGAAACCCAAGCTTTGGTAAGCATTTTGAAAGAAAATCTTATACTTTCATATCATTTATGTAATATCGATTCTATTTTTCATGTTTAAATTTCATGTTCATATAATGATGAGATGACATTACTAAACCAAATACATGATTGCCACTAAAAGCCCACAAGACCATTTTGATGGGAGAGTTATTTAGTGGTCTCATAGTCAAGTGTGCTTCCCTTTTTCCCAACGGTATATGAGAAAAATTTTTTTTTTCACTCTTTCTGTAAGCATAAAAACAACAAAAAATACTGAAAAATTAGTTACTAATGTTTTACACATAGATTATGTGATTGTATTTAAGGGGAGCTTCTTAAATAATATTAATTTACACATTGTAATAAATAATATTCTGGTAAAAATATATTTACGGGCACTCCTTGTCGATAATTGTTGGCACATGGACACCGAGTTTGTGCAGTTCTTTCACTTGTTATTTCGGCTTTGTGTAGCAGCACTTTTTGCGCAAAAATTGCCATTATACAAATCCAAAATAACAAGTCAAAGAATTGCACAAACACGGTATCCATATACACATTGACCTATTTTCACTTAAAAAAAATATCAGATACCGTAATTTCCGGAAGAAACGCCGCGGCGTTTACGTGTTTAAAACTTAAATTTTCAGCGGGTGCGGCGTTTCTACCCATGCGGCGTTTAGGTGCACTAAAAATAAAATATTTCCTATGATGGTCATTGTACATAGTTTGGATGGCCTTGTCATTGTGCATAGATTGGTGCTGTTCCCACACAAAAGACCACTCAGTTGCTTTTTGCGAACGTTATTTTGTTTACGTTCTTTCCCTTGAACGGACCTACATGCCTTATTCACCCTAAACGAGATCTCAGAACAATAACATTCTTCCCCCTTTCAAATCAACATTCTCATCAGTTTGAATAGTCTCTCTCCTCTGCCATTCGATGAATCTTCCAGGACCCATCCTCTTTCCACCCCTGCCTTTTCTGCAATTTTTTTCAAAGGCGGACACGACTCCACCTGCCTCGCAATAACGAACTCTGACGTATTTCCCCTTCAGCATGAATGGATTTTTCTTGGCATTCTGCCAAATACAGATCCCATCAGTTAGGGTACAAGTACTTGTTGGATAGTTTTTAATTAGGGAGCGGAAAATTTTTGAAAATGTCTCTAAACGGCACAGAAGCTATACATTTCTTACCTTTAATTTATTTTTGAGTTATGGTTTCATTTCATGCATTTTTCTTAACTGGTATGTCATATATCAGGACTTAGGTTGAGTTTTTGCATCTATACGGCCCACGACGATGTCACGCGCAATTTAATCTATTGCGGCGTTTCTGTGTAATTTTAATTTTTTTCCCGCCATTTTTCTCGAGTGCGGCGTTTACGCTGATGCGGCCTTTCTTCCGGAAATTACGGTAATTACACAAACTAGGCATTACGCACTCCGTTGACTTTTTCCATGTACACATTGATCTATATTCACTTTTCAAAGGAGCTGCCAACAAAATATATATAATATCAATAAAGTAAATTTTAAATCAAACAATAAAATAAAAAAGGAAATTCATCTTAGCACTACACAAAGGAAATATCCACTTACCTTATTTACAAATTTTGATGTCTTCAATCAAAAAAATTCCTTATCAGCATTCAAAAACTTCCTAAAATTATCTGAACTAGAATCTGTATACTAACGTCGCCATATAAATTCACAAAAATAAGTGTAAAAAATATCCTCCGACATTCAACCATATGCATTTTCTTCCTACAAACAGGACACTTATAATGGCTACTAAGTAAACCTTCGTTTACACACCAGTCAGTTAATCCTTTTTTACCTTTCGTTCCAAATCATACAGAAACTTCAAGGCTAGTCTTTGGAATATGGTAACAGGTAGTTTTGCGACATTTTGGTAAGGCGATAAAGGTTACTAGCTAGGACTTTAGCAGTGTACATGGTAAAAGTCAAAAGTGTGCACAATGCCATTTTTGTGCAATTCTAGGATGTTCTTTTAAGTGAAAATAGGTCGACGTGTACATCGATACCGTGTATGTGCAATTCTTAAAAACGCAGCAAGCAGTGGGTGCTTTCTGCACTTTCTCCCAATTTTGCACCTAATCTTCGTCATGATTAAGCACTTTTGTTCCATAAAAGTTCTAGCATAAGTGTAACTCGGCTAGCAGATTGTTGGAAAAAAATGTTGAGTAAAAAAAAAAAAAAACCTTTACTTTGTGAAAACGAAATGGTGTCCGAAAAAAAAAAAAAAAAACTAGCAGGTTGCTATAGCAGGGTTGGTCGCCAAATTGTCGCCAAAAAATAAGTTACCATAATCTGAAGATTAACCAACTTCAAATTATTTATACCACATTTAGCCATTGTACTGTATAAATCACGAAATAACAATGTACTTCTTATCCAAAATCCAACACACAAACAAGCCTTTCCAAACTTTTTCCCAATCATTCAAATTCATTGCAATCATGCAACCAATTACATCATAATAGGGTTTCCATAACATTCAACTACTCAGGTTATCATAAATGAAACAACAAATTAGTGATAACCTAAAGGGCACTCTTAAGTCTACTCTAACCAATGTTCTGTACAGTACTGCATCTTAGGTGATTATAAGTAATTTAATAGCATTAAACAAATTAAATAATTTGCAAACAAATTATTTATTAATATTTGCAACAAATTAAATAATTGCAAAATTAAATAATTTCATAACTATTAAAATGGATATGATATCAGATTTTTAAATACAGTGTGAAGGAATTCAAAATGGAAATCAAAATAAAATATTTTTACTTATTTACTTCCAGGCAATGCAAGAAATTACGTCTTTGCTCTCTCTTATAAACAACATTACCCAGAAATTATAAAGCATTAACTTTCTATCAGGTGTGATCCTTTTGTAACTAGAGAGGTGTGGTATATCAAATTGATATCTTTTGATTGATTACATTGGAAATTTTGTCTAATAGGAAAATGATATTTTTGTCTGACATTATAATAAACACATAACATGAAATATATAAGTAGATTTTTTTTAAATATTTAGGAAAAAATATAATTTATACAATGAATAAAAAATTTATCTGCTTGATATTTCTGTTTCTACATGATGGATTATGATGGGAAATAGCAAACATCACAAATCAGATTACTGATAGAATCAAATAATGTTTAGTTTTGATTAATTATAAATTTAACATTTATATCATTAAGAAAAATTTGTACAATTCTGTTTCAGAGAGCACAAAAAAATTGCAGCGCCAAATCTAGCAAACATGCCCATTTAACCACGCGTTTACGCGCTGGTTTCAGTGTGCATAAATTTAGATAGTTCTACGTTTGTAAGTTGTACATTCGTAAGTATTTGTACATTTGTACATTTCTATTGAAATACTGGTTTAATTTTTTAATTCTTTTTTGATAACGTTATAGATCTAACAATTTGGGAGTTGCGAAAAGACTGCAATGGAATTTTTTCAAAGAAAATGTATCATTCATGATAGAAAATTATGTTCGAATAACCGCGAGATGAAGTTGTGCTTTAGCGGTAACTCAATAGCAAAATGGCGGTGCAGGAAAGAAACCTGTAATGAGAAGAAAGGATTAAGAAATCGAAATTGGTTAGAAGGATAAAAAATCCCTTTCATTACAGCTCTTACATTTCATATCAGGTTCGTCTGTTTTTGGTGTCAGGAGATGGCATGTATTGAATTTTGTGAACACCAGCTGCAGATGAACCACAATACAGTTGTAGACAGTTACATGCATGAGGTGTGTGCCGCAGCTTTAATTGCTTGGTCTAAGTTGAAAATTGGTAGATGTGGCAAAATTATTGATGTAGACGAAAGCCTTTTTATTGGAAGAAAGAATAACATTGGGCATGTTCTTCTGCCATGATAGGTTTTCCATGGATTGTGCAGAGAACTAAATGAGTGTTTCTTTGTCACTGTTTCACATCGATCAGTGAAAAACCTTATTGAATGTCATAAAGGAAAATATCACAGAAGGAAGCGTTATTTATACAGTACAAAGTCTTTAATCCGGACATCCATAATCCGGAATAATCTATAATCCGGACATTAAAGCTACAAACTTTCTGCGCATGCGTAGCGTTTATGCATGTGCATATGCATTTACGCATGTGCATAATACCTTTACGCATGCGCGTTTAATGTATAATGGATGGTATAAGTTACTAATTATCTATTTCAGTTAATGTTGCAGTTTGCGTTGTTCCATAATCTTCTAACTGGATCTGGCTTATTATTTTTTGGAGACTGTTAGAGCAATTTTATAAAAAGTAAGCTTGAACTTCCGATTATGTCAAAAAGAGTTTCCGATTCTGGAGCTGCCAAAAGATCTACAAAGCGAAAGCATGTTTCGATCTCCATCAAACAAAAAATGGAATTACTGCAAAAAATGGATAAAGGCATGAAGAAAGTGACAGAGAGGTTAGTGAAAATGAAAAAATTTTGATTGACAAGTTAGTCGGTATTCTCGGCACAGTAATTACAGGACTCGAACAGCAGAACTTCGTAACTGAACAAGAAATTATGTCTGTTTATAGAATTAAAGAGAAAGTATTAGCATATAAAACGAAGCAACCTAAACAACTTACATTGAAAGAAATGTTGGCTTATCTTTGGAATATGGTAACAGGTAGTTGGCGACATTTTGGAGGTGATAAAGTTCCGATTAAGCATTATTTTGTGTGAGGGAAATGAGAGATCATGAGATATGTCGTGACATTAATGGACGAATCACTGTTCTTTAATCGGAAAAGGGGGTATATTTGTAAGCAGTAGTTTCATTTTATGTTCTGTGAAACGGTGTTGTTTAATATTTGGATCCCATGTCCGTATATAAAGTAAATCCGAAATTTTTATTGCGTTTATGTGTAATTGAAAAGAATTGTTTAATTGCGGATAAGTATGAATGTCCAATATGTGGGAATGAAATGAGATTGTGTGAAAGGAAGGATAT